CGAAGGACGCTCTCGAGCTCGTCCACGGCGACCTCTGCGGGCCGATCACGCCTGCTACAAACGGTGGTCGGTGGTACTTCCTCCTGCTCGTGGATAATTGCAGTCGCTACATGTGGCTGCAACTCCTGATGAGCAAGGACGAAGCGACGACGGTGATCAAGAAGTTCAAGACACACGTGGAGGCCGAGAGCGGCAAGAAGCTCCGCGTGCTGAGGACTGATCGCGGCGGCGAATTCACTTCGGTGGAGTTCGCTACGTACTACACTGATCAGGGTGTGGTGTGACACCACACCGTGCCGTACTCGCCACAACAGAATGGCGTGGTGGAGAGGCGGAACCAGACGGTGGTCGCCATGGCTCGATCCATGATGAAGGCCAAAGGCATGCCGACAAGGTTCTGGGGTGAGGCAGTGACCACGGCTGTGTTCATCCTCAACCGCGCTCCAACCAAGACCCTGATGGGCAAGACGTCGTTCGAAGCTTGGTATGGGCGCAAGCTGAACGTGTCCTTCCTCCGGACATTCGGCTGTATCGGCCACGTTAGGAAGACGAAGCCGAACCTCACTAAGCTAGAGGACAGGAGCACACCGATGGTGTTCTGGGCTCTGTGAGGGTACCAAGGCGTCTGGCTCTCACGACCCACACGGAGACAAGGTGCTTATCTCGCGCGACGTCGTGTTTGATGAGAAGACGGCTTGGCATCTGGAATAGTTCGAGCACGAGGGAAAGTGGCGGCTTTACCAAAGCACCTTCGTCGTCGAGCACTTGGTCATCCACGGTGGTGGAGACACTAGGGAAGAGGTCTTTGAGCACTCGGGAGGAGTGCCGAGCACTCCGATGGTAGAGCCGAAAGCACTACTAAGGCGTGCCAAGCACTTCGGGAGGGATGCCGAGCACGCTAGGAGTGGTTGGGAGGTTCTCTGATGGTGGCGACCACTCCGGGGCGAATGTCGAGCACTCCCATGGCGGAGCCAAGGCGTCTTGCAAGTGGTGCCGACCACTCCAAGGCCGAGGTGAAACACTCCTACTGGTGGTGCCGAGCACTACTAGAGTTATGACGAGCTGTCCAGAAGTAGTACCAAGCACTACAACCAGGGTGCTGAGCACTCCGGTGGAACAGGAAACTCCATCGACGCCGATCGAGTTCGCCTCAACTCCCTGTGACATCACTGAGTTCGTAGATGCCTTCCACGAAGGTGAGGAGGTGCGGTTCCACAGGCTGAATGACATCGTCGGCGGCACAGGACCCTCAGGACTGGCTGGTTGGCTGCTCAATGACGCAGAGCTGCTGCTCGTCAGTGCAGAGGAACCACCCACGTTTGCGCTGGCCGAGAGGGACGGAAACTGGCGATAGGCGATGCTGGAGGAGATGAAGGCGATCGAGGAAAACGAGACTTGGCAGCTCGTCGATCCACCTCCAGGATGTTGTCCGATCAGCCTGAAGTGGGTGTACAAGGTCAAGCGGGAGGAGCTCGATGCCATTGTCAAGCACAAGGCGCACCTCGTTGCCTAAGGCTTTGTTCAGTGCGAGGGCATAGACTTCGAGGAGATCTTTACGCCAGTAGCGCGCATAGAGTCGGTCCGTTTGCTACTAGCCTTGGTAGCAGCAAAGGACTGGCGCATCCATCACTTGGACGTTAAATCGGCCTTCCTCAATGCGCGGTGACGGAGACGGTCTTCGTCAGGCAACCTCCGTGTTTCACCATCAAGGAGAGGAGCACGGGGTGCTCCATTGCGCAAGACGCTCTATGGGCTACTGGCGGCCCCACGAGCATGGAACACCAAGCTTGATGCCACGCTAAGGCGAGCTTAGGTTTCAGCGGTGCGCAACCGAGCACACGTGCTCTACACGCGGCGACGGGGAAGGAGGAGCTCGTCGTCGGCGTGTATGTGGATGACTTGATCGTCACCGACGCAGCGCCACGGAGGACATCAAGCGGCTTCAAGCGTGAGATGGTGGCTCGTTTTGAATGAGCGATCTCGACGCACTCTCCTACTACCTCGGCATCGAGGTGAGATAGGGAAGGAGGAACTCACCCTCGGTCGAGCGCATATGCCTTCAAGTTGTTGGAGCGGGGCGGCATGGTTGAGTGCAAAAGCGCGTGACTCCTATGGAGGAGCGGTGAAGGCCGATAAAGGCCAGCACTGCAGCGAAGGTGGTTGCAACACTCTACCGAAGTATCGTCAGTGGTCTGCGCTACCTAGTCCACATGAGACCGGACATTACGTTCGTCGTGGGCTACGTCAGTCGCTTCATGGAGGATCCCAGAGAGGATCACTGGGCTGCGGTGAAGTGGCTACTACGCTACGTCAAGTGGACGGTAGATCAGGGGATCATCTTCCCAAAGAAGCGGTGGGAGTGCTTACGACTCATCGTGTTCAGTGATGCGCACATGCGGGGGACATTGACTGACGACGAGCACCTCTAGCGTGCTCGTCTTTCTCGGGTCGGCACCAATTTGATGGCTGTCGCTAAAACAGAAGGTGGTGGCGCTATCTACGTGCGAGGCAGAGTACGTAGAGGCGGCCACAGCGGCGTGCCAAGTTGTGTGGCTGCGCCGGCTGCTGCGCAAGCTGACCGATGTGGAAGCTCACCCACCAGCACTGATGGTGGACAACCAGCCCGCCATTGCCCTCACGAAGAATCCGGTTATGCACGACCGGAGCAAACACATCGACGTGAAGTTCTACTTCCTCAGGGACTGTGTCGATGGAGGGCAGATCGTCATCGAGTTCGTCGAAACTGGTCGACAACTCGCGGACGTCCTCACCAAGCCGCTCGGACGTCTTCGACTCACGGAGCTGAAGGAGATGATCGACATGGAGGGAGTACAAGGGATAGCAGTAGGATTAGGGGAAGAATTGTTAGAATAATCTACTGCTTCCTTGTGTGAACACACAGTAAGGAAATGGGGCGCCGAAAAGGCCCCCTGCTGTGGTACTGTAGCCACGTGCAGGGACAAACGCAGAAGTTAGTCCTGCTGTGGTATTTAGTTACTGTTACAGCATGTGCGTTGTCCTATGGCTAGATAGATAGAGTTGTATAAATAGACTACCACGGCAACTTAGTAAAGAGAGTTCAGGTTTGCCATCTCTCATACAGGGCTTCGACCAACGCTGGTGTCTTGTACTGTATGTGTATGCTCTGTTCTTCCTCTTCCTCAACCTCTAGCTATAGTGTGTAGGGATGAACAACGCTTGTTTGTGGTCGGCTTAGCTAGTGGGTGCTCGGCAACACTAGCGGGTGCTCGACAAGACTGATGAGTGGTTCACTCATCTGAGCCGGTGATTCTGTGGGCTAACATAAGCTACCTTGCGATCTGCAGAGAGAGCTAGGGATCGGAGCGCAATATGCCCCAATCGATTTCGAGCCTATATCTGTTGAGTGTTGACTTATTGACTTCTTTCCCGGTCATATATAGATATAGACTACGTTCGGCTGGCTAGAGCCAGCTGGTTGCTCCTCAGAAAACACTGTTCACGTTCTAGCCGAAACAGTATTTTTCTCTCACAATAAATCAGCCAAAAACGACCCACCGGCTTTAATCCAACTCAGCCGAAAAGAGCCATAGATGGCTAAACGGACCACCGGACTCTCACGATGAATATAATAAATATGTATGGCCATTTTAGACTAGCACGCGCACTCGATGCCATTCCCAACTGCTCCCTTTGTTGGCCACTGCAAAGCATTCCTCCCTCATGTAAATATAATAATTTACTTCTCTCATGGCATCACCTTCTTGCTCCTTTTCCATTGAATCATGGATACAGCCATCTATAAAGGACCGGGTTCTTCATTCAGCCGGCGACGAGATTGTCGGCTTCTGCCTTATCTGCAACGTTTGCGTGTTTGTTCCTAACGCAGAGTATTCTAGGCGAATTCCTCAGATTATGTTTCTGTAACATTGTGACCTTTATACGTACACCAAAAAAAATTAACTTTCAAATTTTGTTCATAAAACCCACGTAAATTACTTGGTTATTTGACCTATGTTGAAATCAGAAGTTAGTTTGGACGTGAGGAGGCACCACACGGATTCCCGGCTTCCCGCACAGGGTACAACGTGAGAAGGCCATTCAGGATCTTTGAATCCAAATTGTATTGCAAGTTTACAACGGCCCCTTTTCGTAAAAAGAAAAAAAAACTTTACAAACAGCCCACACACACGTTACAGGGCTACTCCGGCCCAGTCACCTTCACATGGCCCGGTTACTTCTTCTTACAGCCTGGTTCGTTCACCCATTCTTTGGCATTCTCCTCTCATCTTCTGTTGTCGTGATCGTGCTCACACATTGCGAGACCCTGTGCATGTCCACGGAGGGTGATCGAGTAACTTGGCTCTCAAATTTATCATGTTTCTTAAGGTAACCAACAACTATTCCCCTTTCTGGCAGTGCAGAATTCACTTGCATCCCCTCTCCCGGTGTGCAGAACAGAGTAAGATTGAGGGCAAAAGCAAAAGCAAAACAAACAAAACAACTCATTTGTAAAATCAGAACAACCAGAGATACAACTTCTACTACTGCTGCATGTATACGGCAACACTTTTAAAACTGCATGGATAGTATCATCTGGTACTCCTAGTGCCCAGAGAAATTAGGAGCCCGGAGGCCAGGACAGGCAGCCTGATCTTTTTTGCAAAGAAAGAAGAGCAAGTGAATTTCATTCACTGCTGCTACTATTACAAGGCAGGGGCCTGGAGGTACAGATCAGCTCTCTGCTGTTCCTGATTTTTCTTTTTTTGTTGCGAAACTGCTGTTCCGTATACTTCATCCCAGAAAATGTTCAACAATTGCACAACAAAGAGAACTACTAACAAACTTGTGGTGCTTTAGCTATTCCCCCTATCCTTCACACCGTACTTCAGAGATCCAGTCCATGGAAACAACAACATTTTATTCCAAAACCCAGGCATAACAGTGAACTCAATGCAAATGGAAGCAGTATTGACAATACTATACTTAGGGCAACTTGCCTTGTATGGTGCGCTAGTTCATCACCCTTCAAATAACTCTCCTAGCATCTTCTCTAGTTTCCTGGGAGTGAATCCTGGGGTGACGATGCTGTTATCCTCCAAGAATTGTGTAAACACTGGGATGACTTTATCAACGACGGCTTTCCGCAGCCTTCTCCGCATCTTCGGGTCTGGGACCTTCCGGAGCTTTTGGGTGGCATAGGTCTTCTGAAATTTTGACTCAAACTTCGATAGAGGAGACGGGTATCTAGTGAAGCAAAGCAGGATCCTGCAAGCATTTCAACACCGGTGCCCAGGACTCATGGAGATAACTATCAATGTAGTTATCGACTTTGCAGATGAGGGATTCCATAATGAAACCCAAACACCTAATTGTGCGTAACTGCTGCAACAAGTAGTAGAAACTGTTGATCAAGAATAGGAACCTGAGTCTCTCATCTAGGAACGACGACGATGTCCAGAATGACGTTGTTGTGGAAGAGACCATCTCCACGATGAGGTTGGGGACATGGCTCACGTTTTCATTCTCAGGCACAAACTCACCGCGGAGAACTGCATCATCTAGAATGAGATTCACCGAACCGTAATTGGCCCACAACACCTTGGTGTAGCTTACTATGGACTTCATGACCTTGTGAATGTCACTTGAACCGCGGTCGTTCGACCATTTCCAGGTCCAGGCCATGACAATATTCATGATCTCAACAATTGTAGCCCATATGGCCTCATCTAACTTGGTCAGGTCTGCCGACAAGAAATCTTCCATCGCACCGTCAGTAGATTCTACTTGTAATGGCAGGATATGTTGGGAGGCCATGGAAAGAGCGTCATGCATGTCTATTAGTGCCTGGAGCTTCTCAGCTGGTGCCAGTGCCCCCGGCCTATCAGTAGTTTTTGCGGCAGCAGCAATGTCAACGAAAGGCAGCATCTTGAGCACAGTTGCTTGGACAAGTTCTGCAAATTCAGAAGGAGATGGCTGCTTTCTCGCTCCTTCATCCTGGTCCTGCCTCTGGCTCTGGCTCTGGCTGTACCATCCATCAAGGCTTGTCAGGATGGATTCACCGATCTTTCGTAGCGCTAGGATCCATGTCTCTACAAGAAATTGGAAGCCGTGCGAGGTAACGACGCACCATGAAGATTCATGTGTTCCGGCGAGGTGGAGAACCCAGCCGACGTCCAGCTCCGACAGCCACGTCTGCACGGCGGTGCTATCATCGCCACTGAATTCCACGACCAGCCCCTTGATATGCTCGAGCTTCTTGGCCACGTCTTCCGCGAGCTCCTTGGCTACATACAGCTCCGTGTTTTCTCCCACGACCGGCACCGTGAACGGATGGAGATCACGAGGCCGCGGCCGGTTCTCCGCCTGAATCGGTGGTGGTGGTGGTGGTACTGGCGGTGTAGGTGGTATACCTGAAGTGGTGCTGTCGCCACCGGTAGGCGGCAGCGAACCGCCTCCGTCGTCGGCGTCATGCCCGCTGCTGCCCCTCGGTCTCATCCATGCTCTCCTCCAGGGCCAGGCTGAGGCCACCGCCATGCGAGCGGCTCACACTGCTAGAACTGGAATGGAATCAATCAATCAATCTAGAGAGCGATGCAAATGAAATTTTATTTTATGCTTCAATCATCAATTCAATAATGAATCAACCTCAACAAAAGTCCACAAAGCGTGTGTCCAGTGTCCATGACGAGTCCACAAAGGTGTCCCTTGACTTTGACCTGTACCAGGGTAGCCGTGTAGGATGTAGCTGAAATTTCATGATATTTATGACGCGGTGTTGATAGTTGAAACTGACGGCCTGACCTCATCTAGATTTGGCCTAAATCAAACCTTTTCAAAACTTTAGCCATCAATACTTAAAATTCCTCAGCAATTCTATTGTTTTTTATGTGGTTTGGTTTTCTCCTGCTAACAAAGTTCCTCAGCATTTCTGATCCCTTGATGAGTTTCAGAAAAAAGACAAAATTATATATACCTTGAAAAGACAAGATTGTTTTAGATCACATAAAGTATTGATTATTTCGGCCCCTAGATGATTTCAAATGGAAAAAGTTTGAACCGCAAAGATTCAAATCACGCCAAACACTACAGCTTTGGTCAAAGTGTCTCTCCATGCAAGGTGGTTTGAAAAAAATGTATTTCAAAGTCTGAGAACTTTAAATGTTTTTTTGGAAAAAGTCTACGTAATCCCCTGACCTTTGCTCATGTGTCTACTTTACCCCCGAACTATGAAACCATGTATTCGACACCGTAAACTTCTCTAAACCAGACATCTAACTCCTTCTAGTGGTTTTGGCTCTTGGTTTTGCCAACGTGATAGTCCAAACTAGCTCACATTGACATGTTGGCGCTCAGGCCCATGCGTCATAGAAAGGGGAGGTGATCCAGGTGCGCGAGCATGGTCGGTGCTGCTGCTCCGCCTGGGCCGTGTGCCCACCGTGGGCGCGTCCTCCGCGGCCGCCGCAGAGGAGGTGATGCGGCACCGTTGGTGGCAGGCACTGCGGCGGCGGTGGAAGTGCCCCTGGCCCTAGGCGCGCGAGACTAGATCCACCGAGATCTCCCGCTCCTTGCCGTGCACGACGACGCATATCCGGTGGCTGCGGCCGCCTTCCCCATTGCGCATGGACACATGCTCGCGGCGCGAGACGAGGACAGGGCAAGGTCTAGGTGGGCGGCGAGCCTTGGTCTTCCTATAGGCCTCCTCCGCCATGTCCCCGGACGACCTCCATCTCACCGTCCACCAGGACGGCGACGAAGTACCTAACGAGAGGTCTCTGGGAGCCCGAGGATGGGAAGCGCGCGCGGGAGAGGTCCTAGGTCAGGTCCATGTGGCAGTCCCGCACGTGGAAGCGCTTGGACCCACGCCGCCTCCACAGCAACCACGGTGACATGCGCATGGCCACCGTCGCCTTCTCCTCGTCATCTCCCTTGCCCTCATACTCGACCTCGTTGTCGCCATAGTCGGACGCCGAGGGGGACGGCGCGGGGCCATAGAGCATGGCGCGGAGGCTAAGCCCAAGCGCGGCGCCCGACCACAACAGCGCAGCCAGGCCGAGGCGTGTGTCATGGACGGACGTGACCAGGCTAGTCCCCACCCCAGAGCCACCGGACTCCGACCCTGATGACACTGTGGTTGAGCGTGAGTCGTCACAGGCGCGCGGATCTATGGCGAAGGGGTTTGATAGCTGGGCCCACTGCCAACGAGTCTTGGGCTGCCACATTGTAGTGCCACATAGGCAAAAGCAGCTGCCAAAACCACTCCAGAGGGTTAATTAAACAGTTTAGGAAACTTTAATATGCTTCTTAGACGGATTTGAAGTTTAGGGGTGGTGAAGTAGCCACAGCGCTAAAGCTGAGGGGCTTATGTAGACTTTTTCCTATATTTTGTTTGACCCTTAAATGAAAAATATCACCTACAAATTTAATGCAAAGTTTATCTTCATCGGACATGAGTTAAAGTTTTTTTTTATGTTCCAATTATTTTTAAAGGAGGGCCATATTGTCAGGAGCCTTTAGAAATCGACTTCTTTTGCAACCTACAAATAGAGTACATTTCTAAATGCGCCTAAAAGAATCAACTGCTTCTAGAAATATATAAAAAAACTATTTATAGAGATGATTCTTGATAGAGCCCCTCTTTGGAAAAAAAACGAGCATCGCTGATTTTTTTATAGTAGTGATCTAAGAAAAATTGATCGTGCTTAATTTTTATTATCTACTTAAAAATCACATGATTTTTAGAGGTCCCAAATTCTTTCATTTTGATCAGGAAAATGTTGAGAGGTTAAAGGAACAAATCTAACCAGCAATTAGGATGCCAATAAATCCTGTCGGCAAGTTATAGGGCCAGCAGTCCTCCACCGATACGCGCGATAGCCGATAGCTGACGTTGAGTCTTCTCATCGGCCATTGGAACGTGCAGTCTTCGATCGACAATTGGAAGGCCGGCATACACATATTGGACTCTGGAGGGTCGATAACTCACCCGTCAGCTGGTGCCAAAAACCGATTGTCTAGATTTTTTTTTTCGAGCAACAAACCGATTGTCTAGATCTACGATGTTTATAATTTGCTTTCTAGTTTTGCAATTTTCTATTTAAATAATATTATTAAAAAAATCCTATGTAGTTTAGCTACTATTCCACTTCATCTTGTTAATTTCACGACATGTGGTTGAGCAACTGAGGATGGCTTAACCGGCACGGAGGGGTGCAAGCTGGAGGGCGGCGGGCGGGATAGAGTTATTTTGTGTGTGTATATATATATATATACTCCCTCCGTCTCATAATAGAAGTCGTTACGAGATATGTGTAGGTCAAATTTTTTCAACTTTAACTAGGTTTATAGAAAATACGTGCAATATTTATATCTCTAAATAAATTTATTATGAAAGTATATTCAACGATCTATCTAATGATACTAATTATGTATTACAAATATTAATATTCTTTTATATATAATTAGTCAAAGTTAAAAAAACTGGCTTCTCGGAAAGTGAAAACGACTTCTATTTTGGAACAAAGAGAGTATTTGCAAAAAAAAAAAAGTGAAATTTGGCACGGTCCAAAACATAAGTACTCGGAGTCCAATATGTGTGGCTTCGCTCGTTTCACCTGTGTGGCTTCGCTCGGAAACCTTGAGATTTAAGCGCTGTCCGGCACTTTGCAGGCAGATTAAGGCCCGCGAAACCTGATGGGGTCTTCTGTCCAATACAACAGCATGGTGATCCGGCACCTTGCACGCAGATTAATGTGTTTTGAGGCCTTAGTGATGAGCCCTCGGAGTCTTTCAACTTTATACATTAGCAGTTTCACAAAGTTTGTTTGGTTAGACACGGTGGCTAGCGTCCGGACGTCCGGACACTCGCGCAGCCGCCTGGTGCGCCCGTCCTGCCTGGTGCGCCTGTCACGAAGTTTGCTTTGGCCAATGACCATGGTCTCCAAACTTTTCCGGGTGGCGAGTGACTGGGTCAACACAGTAAGAAACATCCATGGACAAGGTTTTGGGACGCATGGCCCTATCATTCAGAAGATCAAGAGCAGGAAGGATGGATTCACAAGAGTGGATTTCGTCAAGAAGCTCCAATTTTAATGCTCATTGTTTAGCTAGGAGCTATATTAATTTTTTGGTAGGAAGATATGTTTGGTTTGTTTCGCCTCCTTATGGAGTTTGTACTTCTTATGCTGATATATAATGATGGCCGACTCTTTTGCTCAATAAAAAAACAAAGTTTGTTTGGTTATACGGGGTGGCTAACGTCCGGACACCCGCGCCCGCCTGCTGTGCTCGTCCCGCGTGCCACGTATGCTGCTAAGCCTGCCCCCAATGCAACTGCAGCTCGCATGCAACTCTGCGCCTACGCGTCCCGCATGCAACTGTTGCGCCTGCACACCCGCCCCTGCATGCTAGTGCGCGTACGCATGCAGTTGAGCGCCTCGTGCCTGCTGATGCGTATGCAGGTGGGGACCGCTACGCCCACGGGGACCGCATCTGCATGCACCCGCTTTCTCTACGCCTGTTAATGTGCAACATGAAAGCACTTCTACAACATACGTCTGAAACATGTGAACATTTACAAGCATACGTTTGCAACATATGTGTATAGCAACTACAACATCCTTAAACACATTTGCAACATATGTCTGAAACTGATGAAACATTTTGAATAGAAGCTTGCAACATATGTTTGAAACATATGCAACATCCAGATGAAACACTTGCAACATAGGTCTAAAACAGGTGAAATATTTGGAACGCACACTTGTGACATACATGTATAGCCAATAAAACATATGCAATATTCAGATAAAACACTTGCAACATACAGATGAAACATTTGAAACATACACTTGCAAGATACATGTATAACCATTGCAACATATGCAATACCAGATATACTTTTGCAACATCCAGATAAAACATATGCAACATACACATGAAACGCATGAAACATACGGTTGCAACATGTGCTCATCTACATGCTGCCGTCCAATGGAGGCTAGTTGACGTGGCGCAAGGCACGGACGGGGTGCGCGGTGCGAGGCGGGTCTAGTGTGACCGTGCGAGGCGCGAGATTTTTTTAGGAAAGTGCGAAGCGCGAGGTGCAGGAGCGCACGGCGTGAGGCGAAAGGCGTAGGGACGCGCGGCGCGAGGCTGGTCTGTCCTGTCCGTCCGGATGGACATCCTGATAGGAGCATTATCATTTGTTATAAGTTTCAGACCGCTTTGAATGGAAGAGGGATTGTCATTTCATTCCATGTCAGTATCGGTGGGTACGATGTTCTTAATTTTCTTATATATAATTAATCTAGTCAAATAAATTATTGTTGGCATAATTACCTTTGCCTAAACTTAATCATATCCCCAAATGTAGATATATCAAAATGTCAAAAATAGTGTCACAATTTACGAACATGGAGAAAGACTAGTTGATTAGACAAGTTGCATGGACCTCAGGCCATTCTAGACACATTTCACAATTTTACGACTTGATTCAGCATCTACCCGGTCCACAAATTAAAATGACTAGACAGCCG